GCTTGAAGTTACAGATGGTTGTAAGCCATGTATACTGGGAATGCAAATTTGATCTTTTGCAAGGGTTCTTTACCACTGAACTATCTCTCCACCCCGTAAGGCTTCTTTCAGAGTAGTAATATTACCCCTTTGTAGGATTGCTTTCAGGGCTCAATGAAGAAATACATTGTGTCATTATTTGGTCATCATTTATTTAATCCAAACATATATTTTGCAGATAACTCCCAGGAAAGTAGGTTGTACAGTACACAGCTGGTGGGGCTGTGCACTGTGCAGAAGGGTTCATACCCCTTAATGCTACCTAACAATTCTCAAATTGGAGGCAGTAGCTTCACAGAGGGGTAAGATGTGAGCTGAAATCAGTTGGCTAGGTCTTTTCCAGGGGTAGGTGCTGAAGATGTTGAGTGTGTCAGTGTGGGAGCTGCCTGATGGCCAGGAGGTCATAAGGCAGTGGGGAAGAGCAGGTAAAAGGCATCTGTCAATCTTATAAGTCCATTTAAACTTCATAACCAAACTTTCATGAGGACTCTGAAGTCAACTAGATTTTTCATGTCCATTCAGTCTTAGAATTGTTCCTATGTCAATCAGCATACACATCTTCCCTGGCTTCCTCCCTCATGTCTGAAGCCAAGATCCTTAGGGGGTCTGCCCTGGCCAAATCTGATCTCTACTAAGTTTGAAGGAATCCATAGCTTTTTTTTTCCCTGTGGAAACAAAGGCATAACCTTTCCCCCCATGCAACATATTTCTTGACTTCCATTCTGAAATCAAGACATCTCTAAAGTATATGCTAGTTTAATTCAACACTTCCTCCCATAATCCAACATCTCTCAGCAGCTGTCATTTGCCCATTAGCATTCAAAAACTTCAAAGTCAGCAAAACACCATACAGGATCCAGACGCCCTGTGGATTTCCCATCCTTAGGTGGCTTTTTTTTTTTTAAAAAAAAAATTTATTACTTACTTTTTCTTTAAAGATTTCATTTCATAAATTTTAAACTATTTCTTTCTATGACTATCTATACCCATTTTATTTCTTTTTTTCTTTAGCATTTAAGTGTATTTTAAAGCATCCTGTCCCTATTTAGAAGCTTTTGGGGGAGGGGCTGAACCAGCTTATTAAGCACCTGCAGCATTCTCTGACCACGTGAGCCAAAGCTTTAATTGCTAGGCAGTAGCCAGCTCCTCTGGCAGCTGGCTCTGCACTCCTCGGTTCCCTGAGAGCTATGGGAATCCACTGAGCCCATTTGCCAGAGTCCCTGCAGATGGTAGACGACTGTTGTGAGAGCTCACAGAAAGGTCTATGCCACAATTGAGGCGGTGTTGACTGCTGTGACTTCTCTGTTTGTGTGGTTGTGCCATGTGTTGGAGCATCAAATGTAGCATTTATCTAGTTATTCTTTATTAATAAAAACTCAGGAGTCAGATATTGGGTAAGAACTTGAATAATCAGAGAAGTGGTGGAGAAGTGAGAAACGACCAGTGCTTCTACTCTTAATGTGTGCAGGCTGTTTTCCTGGTAGAACTCTATCCCATTACACTTAGGGATAAACTTGAATAAAAGAAATCTAGCCAGGCATAGTAGCATATGCCTTTAATACCTGCAAAGGTAGACAGACCTCTATGAATTCCAGGCCAGCCTGGGCTATGTAGAGAGATGCTGTAACAATAAACAAACCAGCAAATAAAATAAGTAAAAGCAATATACAATTCTCTTCTTCTGCCGTCAGTCCTCAGATTGCTTTGGTTTCTTTACAATGTGTGAAGATTGCTGATTCCCAGAGGCAGCCCTGCAGTGTCATGAATTGAGAGGTGGGGTGAAGATCATTGCTTTCAATCTTAGAGACATACAGAGGGCAAGCCAAAGCCTGTGAGGACGTTGCTCACATGGCACTCATCAGGATACCTGGTTTTGGAACGTGCCTTTGGACTCAAGAGCGCCCATCTTCCATAGACATGGCTCTTCTGAGGCTGGCAGTGGCCAAGACTCCTCAAAGGTACCCACTTCCCTTGACCCCTGATGGAGTCTGTAAAGAAACATCTACTTGTGCTCAGGAAAGTGAACTACGTGCCTAAGCGTGTAGAGGGAAACTGCTCCCTTGTGCGTGGCCCTCACCTTTGAGCCAGCCCTCACTCCTGTGATATGTAAGGAGATTGCATTATGACCTGGGATTTACTGCAGAATCATTTTATTGTGTTCTGGTGCTTTAGCAGATTAGCTAGTACTAAGATAGTGTGTAATGGGTGATGATTACAGAGGTCAGGAGGACTGTAGATACTTTGATTTGGGCTTCCTCAACCTTATCCTATTTTAGAAAGAAAAATCGTCCAGGTTTCCTTATCATTTTCAAGAAGAACTTCTTTCTTTTATAGTCATTGACTATTCACATCTTCCCAGTCCTTTGAAGGGACTTAGAACTAAAGACTTACTCTGTCCCTAAGTTTGGGTGTAATAAGAAATTGTTTTCCACAACACTTCTCTTCCTTCTGACAGGAGTTTAGCAAGTCCTTGTTTCTGCAGGGAGATCTGCAGTGACAGTGAAAAATACCTCTGCTTTCTTAAACAACCTAATATAGTGTCTTCAAACTTCTGTTGGGGGTCATCCTGGCAGAGAGTGGTTGTTTATTGCCTTCGTAGAGCCTACAGCTCTTTTGGACAATTTATCCATGGAACCAGAGATGTCTAGAAAGGCAAAAGAGACAGTGAAAGCAAGCAGCCCATGTCTGAACTGAGAATCTCACTCGATCACTGTGGGGCAACTGTTGCCAATGTGCCGCAAGAGAGAATATAGGACAATGACTGACAGCTTGGATGTTCACACTTTGTGCTGCTGCAACCACAAAATACCCAAAAGAACAACCGAGCCGAGGCAGTATTTATTCCTCATCACCAGGCAGGCTGCTGTTTGTTTCCTTAACAATCAGAACTTGAACAGCAGCAGCAAGGTAAGGGTGGAACAAGGGAAGCCAGGAGCTTCTGTCTGCGGCAAAGCAAGGGTGAACATGAAAAGAACGTTGTTCCTCCTTCCCTAATCAGAGCCCACAGGGTAATTCAGCCAGCTGTGCCGTTGGCTATTCTCTGTGTGTTTACAATGCTGTCTATTCATTCCCAGAATTACCATAGAAATAAGAAGGGAACTTTGGAGTATGAGTCAAACCCTATGAACTGGGAAATGAGAGTGGGAATTCAGGAGACATCTTAATTACACCTCTACACAAAGCCCCATATATGTGTGCAGGTGGAACTTATTCCTTTGAATACATATATATATATATGCATATATATATATTCAAATTTCTTCATATATGTGTGGATATATAAGTAAATTACACCGTAGCCTTTCAAAACCCAGTGGATACATTCAAGATTAGTTTTGGTGGAATTCAGTAAACCTGTTACTGGTATCAGGCACTCAGTAGACCAGAGTATCTTCCGGTTCTGTCACTAACTTGCAGGGCCTCCTAGACCAGGCTGTTTCCACTCTAGCACCGTTGATGCTTTGTGCTGGACTTTTTTTTTTTTATGGGTCAGACTGTTGTGTGCATGTTCAGAAGCATCACTGGCCTGTGCCCTATGAGTAGAAGTATCACCCACACCCACGACAACTGGTATTAGTTACTTCTTACACCACTGCGAACACAACACCTGACGGTAATAAGAGAAAAGAGATTTACTTGGTTCCATGGCAGAGCAACACTGGCCTGTGAGGAAGGCAGCTCACATCACAGTGCACCAGGAAACACTGGCCTGGGGAATATGGCAGGGTGCGCACTAGTCACAGCATATTGATCAGGAAGTGCAGAAACGAGAACTCTGGCCCCCAGCTAGCTTTCTTTTCTCTTTCTTTCCTTCTCATCTCTTGGCCAATGGGATAGTGTTACCCACATTCAGGGCGGCTCTTTCCCCTCCAGTTCTTCCTCCACCCACGCCACCTTAACATCCCAACAGGAGTGCTGTACTCTCCCGTGTGATTCTGTTTGAGAATTACTGTTTCAGACCAAGGCAGGCCACTTCCAGACCAGAGTTCTCACTGATAAGCAGACAGCGGTGGTCCTTCAAGAGCATCCGAAGTTCACTCCGGATCTGAAAGAGCCCAGCACCACCCTCAAGATAACGTGCCAGCCCTTCATAAGTGGCAGACAGCTTGTGCTAATCTAATGGGTCTCTAGGTGAAGCTGTTCTCTTACCAGCTGTCCCAGGTCGCTCCTCTGTTGCTATAATTAAAACACTTACCCAAAGCAACTTGGGGAAGAAAGGGTCTATTCCATCTTGTAACTCTCAAATCACAAGACATCAGTGAGGGAAGGAACTTACGGTAGAAATCTAGAGGCAGAAACCAAGGAGGAAGGCTGCTTACTGGCTCTCTCAGTTTGGTTTCTTAGAACTCAGGTGCTAGCACCACTTGTGGAGGCCTGGGCCCGGGCCATCCATATCAGTCATTACTCAAGCCCTTCCCATATCAGTCATTACTCAAGCCCCTCCCATAGCCATCATTACTCAAGTCCCTCCCATATCAATCATTACTCAAGTCCCTCCCATAGCCATCATTATTCAAACCCCTCCCATAGCCATCATTACTCAAGCTCCTCCCATATCCATTATTATTCAAGCCACTCCCATATCAATTATTATTCGAGCCCCTCCCATAGCAATCATTACTCGAGCCCCTCCCATATCGATCATTACTCAAGCCCCTCCCATATCAATTATTATTCAAGCCCCTCCTATAGCCATCATTACTCAAAAAAATGACCCACAGACCCATGTGGAAATTCTTCAACTGAGGGATTCTTCTTCCAAGGTGACCCTAGCTTGTGTCAAAACCATTTGCTTTGTGTTTACCAAGGTTTTTGTTTGTTTGTTTCTTTTACTGATTCCCAAGGGCCTCAAAGTACACACAGAATAGCCTTGCCTTTCCCCAAACTCTCCTCCTAAGGCGAAGGGCAACAGAGGTGTGGATTATAGGGACGCCGCTGAAATGACTTTTCTCTTCCCACAGGGATTCTCACTCTGAAGAAGGCAAACGAACTTCTGAGCAGCGCGGGCACACCAGGCAGTTTTCTCATCCGGGTCAGTGAAAAGATCAAGGGCTATGCCCTGTCCTATCTGTCGGAGGAGGGCTGCAAACACTTCCTCATAGATGCATCCGCTGACTCCTACAGCTTCCTGGGTGTGGACCAGCTGCAGCACGCCACCCTGGCAGATTTGGTGGAATACCACAAGGTGAAGCCACTTATATACTTATATATAAAACAAAGGCATGGCTAGGGATACAGCCCAAGAGCAAGCAACGCGAGGGGGCACATAATTCCCCCAATAATGAGGAACCTTAGTTCTATGTCCTTTATCATATCCTCCTGACATACTCAGAACTATCCCACTGGAGCTGAGGCTACTGGAGATGCACGTACTCATCACATCTGTGGGTGGTCCTATGGTAGAACTTGGGCTCTAGCAGGAAAGGGAAGCTGGCAAAGGAAACTCGCCTTTAAGATTGTCATAAGCCAATCTAGGTTTGCATGAATCTAGAGTAGAGGAGAGTAGAGTAGAGTAGAGTTACTTAGGAAGTAACAAGGGCATCTACCACACAGCTGCCACATGACCCTGTGCTTTGATTGACAGGAAGAGCCTATAACCTCTCTGGGGAAGGAACTCCTGATGTACCCCTGTGGTCAACAAGACAAGCTACCCGACTACCTCGAGCTCTTTGAGTGACAGCTCTCATCCGGATCAGCCTCCAGCCGGTTTGTCCTCTGGACAGAAACCTTTGAGGTGGACTTCGCATGTGATGCCAAAACCATTCTGTGACAGAGCCAACAGTGAACGATGTCTGTGGGGTCTTACCTGAAACCTCTGTTCTGCATAAATGCTGGAGATCTATTCAAGAGACTATGACCTCTCCCTCATCCTCATTCTGGAAGGAAAAGGGAGAAGTGTACCCATTTCAACAACATCCTAATCTGAAGGATGGGACCTTGAAGGACAGGGCTATAATGGTGTATAAAAGATAAATAACAGGGTAAATTGAAATCGTTTTAGCAATTAAGGTGTTATTCTAAAAAAAAAATCAAAACAATAGCAACAACAGAAAATGAGCAAGCCATTTTGTGAACTACAGGCTTCCTTTTGGTATTTAGTCAAAGGTCTCAGTCTCCTGCTTGTAGCTTGGCTTTAAAATGCCAGGTAAAAATGTTCCCACTCAGGGCTGAGGTTCTCCTCAAAAGATAACCTTTTCTGTGTGTTGTTGGAACCAGGATTTAGCAGACAGAAAAGCAAGTCCCAACTGTGAATTGAAGGAGAAGTTTTAACACCTGGGACGAACAAGAGACTTACCATGTGCAACAAACGAACAAACAAAACCCAACCAATCAACCAAACAAATGAAAAAAAAAAAACCCACACACAGTAGTAGTAGGGAACTGGGACATCTTATAGCTTGTTGGTCATTGCTCTGCCTCCCTCAGCTCTATCTGTGAGCAGATACTAAAGATGATCTGCATGGCCACGTAAGGACTCCTGTGCTCATGGTACAAAGAGAAAAACAGAGTGAGTGGTTTGATAGCACCTACTGAGAGTTGAATCGTGACCTACACCAAAACTATGTGAGTCCTGACCTCCCTGTACACGGGTGTGACCTGATGTAGAAACAGGGTCTCTGCAGACTAGATAAGTAGGGTAGGCCCTGATTCTCACGACTGACATCTACACAAGGAAGGGAGGTTTAGAAAATGACGCATGGAAAGATGAAGGCTAAGGGACCATAGACCCAGAGAGTGAGTGACGTAACTGAGATCAGGGGATGCCAGTAATTGTGGAAGATGACGGGACCCAGGGCTCCATTCTCCCTGAAACTCTAGAAGAGACACAGCCTTGTTCAGACTTGTTTGCGCCACTGTTTCAGCATTCTAGGCTTTAGAACTGTGAGGTAATAACCGTGGAAGTAACTGAAGAGCTGGTGGCTTTACATCACTCTCAGAAAGCTAGTGCAAGAGCTTACGTAGCCCAGGCCCTACGCGTGTTCCATGGCCTTGATTCTTGTCACAGCCTGCACCGTCACTGTGAAATGAAACTTGGGTATGGGAGGAACATTCCAAGCAATGCTATCCAGCCCTGGGCACAGATTTATTCAGCCAGAAATCTCCTGCCCTGCATCATCCTGAAATCAAGTCCCCAGTCATTCTCAGCTCAGATGGATGAGATGGGGCCAACCTCTGGATGGTGACCAAGGAGGCCGCAAGGCATTCAGTGCCACTTTTCCCAGAGGAAGGAACTTTGCTAAGCCCGCCTGTGCCCGCTTCCTCTCACTGGCCTCTTACCCGAAGTAGAAGGGCGCTGTAGGCGTCCCTTGTATGCGTCATTCAGATACACAATGTACCAACGTCGAGGCTGGCGTGCACCAGCGAGGAAATTGAAATTCAGAGCATTGTCAGCTGTTTCTTGAAATAGTTCACATGGTATATGTTATTAAATTTTTGTAAGATCTGCCTTTTAACTTTGTTTCCAAGACGCAGCGGTCATGGCATTACTAAGAATCTCTGTTCTCTTCTCATTTCTCCCCACTGTTTTCCTGGTTATCTTGAATGGGCCCTTTACCTATCTGCATTAGTCACTTTTCTCATTGCAGCGACAAAAATACCCAACTAAAGCAACTTAAGGAAGGAAGGCTTGATTTCGGCCCCCAGTGGGAGGGTGAAGTCCATCGTGATGGGGGACCCATGGTGACAGGAACCTGCCGCAGCTACAGGATCTAGGAAGTAGAGCGAGATGTGATGGGGCCCACTCAGCTGTTTCGAGTCAACCTGGGATCCCAGCCGATGGGACGGTGCTGAAATACTTCCGTAGGCAATGAGCCTGGCTGTGTCCAAATATGTCTGTGTTAAGTGACCAAAAGAAGATTAAGAAAGAACGCAAACTAGTTAAGCTAATGTAATAGCAGGAGGAGTAGGCCTGAGTTCTATACTGCTTTATCTTATTGGTTATTGACACAAAGGAATAAACTGTCTAGTGTCAGGTGAGACAATGGCCGGGAAGAATATTGAAATTCTGAGGGCAGGAAAATGGTTTACACAATCGGAAATTTCAGCCAGGTGGGCTGAGGAGGCCTGACTAGGTATGGTCTGAGGTGGAATCCAGCCCTGGCTCTGGTCTCCTCTTTCTGCGGTGTCGACAAGCCTAGACTCTTGCCCTTTCTGCTCAAGGTTTCTTGGTCTGGGGTGCGGCCTTTAGACTGTTATACAGGTTTCCAATCCCAGGAGCTCAGGCCCGTGGACACTTGTGTCTTGGAGTAGAGCCAAGTGCCCCCCTGCCCATGTTGGCTCTCTTTTCCAGTAGTGCCATTCTAGAAGCTCCCTTCTGTAGTCATATCAAATCTTCTGGCTTTTAGATTGTCATGGCAAGCCAGGTCAAGATACGTCAGCTCAAACATTACCTATGCTAAGGAAGAACACAGGAACAGTTAAGACCAAAAGGAACCAAAGAGACAGACCACGAACGTGTCCTCCGAAATATCTCAAGGCATCTATAGCCAGAATTGTCTATTTGAGCCAAGACTTTGCCAGTAGTCATTCTTTGGTGGACTAGCATTGTCCTAGTCTGCTCTCAACTGTTGTGGTGAGCGCCATGACAGAAAGCAGCTGGCGGGGGAAGAAGGCTGTCCTTGGCTTAGAGCAAGATGAATGACGGTGCCCAGGCATCCCAATCGTAGAAGGCGGTCAAGGCAGGAACTGCAGCAGAGGGCACTGAGCAATGCTGCTTAGTGACTTGTTTTCAGGCTTGCGTTCGGCTACCTCCCAGGATCACCTTTCCAGACCTGGCGTGAACCACGGTGAGTTGTGCCCTCCACATCAATCACTATTCAAGAAAATACCCCATAGACTTATCTACAGACTAAACAAATGGAAGCACCTTCTTAATTAAGGGATACTTGTGGCCCTTGTGTGAGCATGGTTTGGGGCTTCCATTATTTTGAATACAGAATATACAGAAATATTTATAGAAGTGCAGGTGTATATCCATGGGACTTCTTTTCTTCAGTTGAGATCGTGGCGAATGACTGTGGGGCTGGCCTGAAGCTAAGAAGGGCTCAAAGCATGCCTGAAAACCTGGATTTTCTCCTCCTGAGAGCTGAAGGAGGTTGGCTGCTCCTGTGCTTTGCCTGGGCACCCACAGACCCTGCAGATAGGCTTTCCCAGGCGGGAAAGATGCTATGGTACATGTAGCAGCTCATAAGCTCAGGCATCTTCGAGGCTTGGAGGACTGGCTGCTGCTTATCTGACCACTGAAACAGCCTGGGTTGGACTTCCTTTCTTTTTGATATGACCTTATAAGGTTCCTTCTCCAGACCCTGCTTCTCCCAAGCACGCAAATGAAGCATTCTCATGTTCTTGCTTCAACCAATAACATACCACCACATGGATCCAAACGGTCAATTTTCTTGAAGTATGAATATCTCCTGCCCCCACCTAATAAACAAGCTGTCTTGAACACAGACTCATGGGTGTTTTTTCCCATCACACTCACAGATGCTCAGAATCCTCCTTCAGCTCCAGGTCTCTTAGCCCTGCTCTCCTCCCTCCCCACCCCAGGGTTGCTTAGTGCACAATAGTCCAACCATACCAGGATGAAGTGGGACTCAAGACAGGCATTGCATCTTTCAGGGCGCATGACATTTGTTTTTCTTAGAATGCAGCTTCTTTCTTCTGATTATAGCTTTTCCACAATTATATCTTTAATAGTTTTCCTTAAATTGTGCCTTCCTGTCCTTTAGGAATATAGATAAAGCTTTACTTAGTTTTCTCTTCCTTGCTTTTGATTTTTAAAATCTCCTTATTGTGTTTATTCCTTCTTTCTACTGTTTATAAAGAGATCTACTCTTGGACCCTGTGGAAGGAGAGACTGGATTTCTTGCCATGTTGATTCTGTGCTCTACCGTGCCCACTCCGCATTAACTCTGCCATGTTGATTCTGTGCTCTACCGTGCCCACTCCGCAGTAACTCTGCCATGTTGATTCTGTCCTCCACCGTGCCCACTCCGCAGTAACTCTGCCATGTTGATTCTGTCCTCCACCGTGCCCACTCCGCAGTAACTCTGCCATGATAACTCTACGTTCTGCTGCTGTCGGCGCCACAGTTACTCTTCAGGTTTGTCTGCAGGGTGGTGAGTAACGTGTCTCTCTATGCAGAGGTTTACCTGTGTTGCTCCAGATTGAAAACTATCAAGGGGCTCAAGTGATGAAATTCTTCTCCCTTTATTGTATGATAAAAATATATTATTAGACAATGAAGTAGTTTTGATGTAGTAGAAAGCAAGCCCAGCAGGTTTGGGTTTGTGTCCTGGCTATCTCATCAATTAGCCATGTGGAATGAAAAGAATTGCTGAACCTGCATGAGCTTCAGCTTTTAACATGAGTTTTTAAAGTCACCTGGGTCCCAAAGAGATGCGTTGAGTGCCCAGCTTAGCAAAAGCTCTGCCTGCAACCACTCTCTGTGAGTGTTCCTTTGTTAACCCAGCTTACACAGCTAATGAGCCCTGCATGCTAATGGCCACTTTCCTGGAACTGGGGAACTATTTTAAGGGGACCAGGGAAAGTTTTAAAATATATAACAATCTATACAGAATACTAGCTAGATGACCTAAAGCAAAGTGGACCCGTTAGTTTGGGATTTGAGGTGGCAAGGGAGTGGAGGGATATTTTCCAGTGATTTTGAACAACCCCAAGGTTCTCAGTCGCCATCTTTTTTCGCCAAATTGGCAGTTGCCGAATGGAGTCCGTGGCCTAGACATTCTTAACCACATCTTCCAAGTTAGCACCTTTTTGAGGAGAAGATGTGAATTTGGAACATACCCTGCCTGCCTCCCTGTGAGGTCAGGTGATGCAAAGACCATAATTTATGCTAGTGGCACAGAGTAAGTCCTTGAGATGTCCGTCCTAGTCAGTCATGTGCTTTCCTCAGTGAAGAGTTGCTCCATTTTACAGACTTCCCAGCAAGTCAAAATCCTAGTAACATCCCCACGCAGCCCTGAATCATGACAACCAAAGTGGCAATGACTTCTCCACGGGGTGGCTCTCTCACTTCCCACCCAGACAACTCTGGCTATCCCTGGCGGCCCCCAAATTGTGATGTCATCTTTATATGGCTCAACTTTATGACAGTAGTCACAGGGAAAACAAAGAGAAATTAAAAAAAAATCCTTCATGTTTGGTTTAAATTTAATTTGGATGATAATATATTTTTTATTTTTTCTTTATTTCAAATATTTAAATGCATTTAAAATGGCTTTAAGACCTCAGTAGACAAGGATGCTTATTGTAGATTTTCAGCGTGGGTTGAAGGCTGAGATTGGCGGTAGATCTGGAAGTTGCAAGGGCTAAGATCTGAGGTGGAGGGAGCTACTAGAAGCACTGCAAACATCTCATTTCCGCGCCTAAAGTGGGGCTGCAGAGTAAGGAGTAAATTCAGCTCTCCTAACCACCCACACCAGATCCATAGGCATTTGGTTATTGCTAGCAGAGCTGGCTCTGCTCTATTCTGGCCCTTGATGAAAGTGGTGGAAACTGGAGGCAGGAGCATGGCCTGGCTTCGCTCTCCAGTGGTGTCTTACCCTCTTAGGCTGTGTCATTTACTATCGTCTCCCTATTGCCTGCCTCATGGACTCTGTCCTCTTTCCTACTAGAACTGCCAACAGTCAAGCCCTAGGGGATGCTGGGATTGGCTTCTGCAGAGGGCACCTTCAAAGTCTGAGTAGAGCCATTTTAAAGGGTATCTCTGTGGCCAGGAAATAACATGTTCCGTGTGTTGGGGGAAAAACCCAAATCCCCCAAACAAACTGGCACAGACCCCACCACTCTTTGGCAGCAACAACAAAGCCTGAGTCTTGCCAGGAGAAATGGCTTTGAATGATACATAGCTAGTCAGAATGTAATCACAGGGGGCTCAAGCATCAAGGGGCACAGGAGCAAAGTGTCCACCCCCTCCTAAGAAACTGCCCAAGGTCATTATCTCCTTGCAGCTCCCAGGAAAAGTCTCTTTAAACACCAGCGGCTCCCCATCTGACCTTCCACTTTGGGGTCCTGCTTAAGAGCCTGGTGCTGAGCTTCCCATTCCAGCATAGTCCCCGCCTAGCTTTTCTCTGCAGCTGCGGGGATGCAGGTGGCTGCGTTGTCTGCTGTGTCTACATGTTTCCCTCCTCTGAGTGTCTTACATGGGGCTAGAGAAGAGAAACAGAGGGAACAAAACACAAGAGGAGTGAGGTCTGGACTTGCCTGACTCAAACTTCTTTCCCTTGGGCTTTTACACACATACACACACACACACACACACACACAATGGGCAGCCCAAGATTGGAGAGATTCAGCACAAGGGCATGAGGTATTTCACTTGGAATCATTACTTGTTGACAAATATTCAGCAAAAGGCTGCATTGGTGTGTTGACTAGAGGTTGGGAGGGGCCTGGTCTGTAGCGTTAACTGCCAATTCCTATTCAAAATTCAATCTGCCACCACCAAAGAAAGAGTTGAAAAAAGAGGCTGACAGTTCTCACACAAGAGCATCAGTAGTAGCACTTGGATGGGACCCCAGGTATATGAGAAGGTAACTGGATTGGTTACTAGGAAACGTACAGGTACATGGAATAGAGTAAGTATTCGTGAAGTTAGAAGAGATCTTTCACCCGCTGGGCATCTGGCAGTGGCTTTTCTTTGCAGCAGTAATGTGCCTGAGTTCTTCATCCACTTGCGTTTCTGTTTTTCTTTGCTGGGTAAGTTTAAATTTCAGCCCCTGTTTAGGTTTAGTGAGGCCTCCCTAACCTTCATTTCTATAAACTTGGGGTTAGATCTCCCTGCAGGTGGACAGGAAGCAAAGAGAGTTAGGAAGATTCCAGAGGACCAAGACTACTTCTTCCTCCTAAGTCCTCACCTCCTGGCTTTCTGCCACCACCACATTATGAGTGGCATAAGAGTATAACTAACTGGGGCTGGAGAGATGGCTCAGAGGTTAAGAGCATTGCCTGCTCTTCCAAAGGTCTTGAGTTCAATTCCCAGCAACCACATGGTGGCTCACAGCCATCTGTAATGGGGTCTGGTGCCCTCTTCTGGCCTGCAGGCATACACACAGACAGAANCAGCAACCACATGGTGGCTCACAGCCATCTGTAATGGGGTCTGGTGCCCTCTTCTGGCCTGCAGGCATACACACAGACAGAATATTGTATACATAAAAAAAAAAAAAAAAAAAGAGTATGACTACCTGGGGGGGACAGATCCACTAACAAAGTCAGGGACCCCAGGATCCAATCACACCCAAGATCCCATCCACTGGTGGCCACATCTGTAACAGAGATGAGCTTTCTGGAGACATTTCTAATGGAAACTGCAGCTAAGCTCAGCTTAAGAGGGAGAAAATAGTTTCCTGTCCCCTCCAGTTACCCCCAGTGACTCCTTACCTTAGATGCTTTTCATTATGGGTCCTCAACATGAGTGCGTGCAGTGAGTGTCTTCCATTGTTTTCAATTGCCCTCCATTTTGTTTTTTTTTTTGAGAGAAGGTCTCTCACTGAACCTGGCGCGCACTGTCTCAGCCATACTGGCTAGACACAGGCCCCCAGGATACTCCTCGCTTAGCTTTCCATCCATCTAGTGTTGGGGCGAGAGGGAATCTCAGCTCACTTTACCCCCTGAGACTTTTCCCTAGTCCTCTTACCAACTGTTAAAATCCATCCTTAGCCAAGTGTGTTTGTAACAACTGTGAGCCAGGCACTTGAGATTCTGAGGCAGGAGGAAAAGGGTCAGCCCATCCTGGGCTACAAAATGAGAACTTGTCTCAAGAAGCAAAAATCTTATTTGGTGTCATGGCCATCTGTAAGGTATACAGTGTGAACGAGTTCAAATGCTGGTTACCATTCAGGGACTGCAACACCAGGAAACAGCTGCACATTTGATGGAAGCCTCTGCTCTTGTGGGATCTCAATCCCCCCCTCTCTGAGAGTATCAGCAAGAGTTGGTCACCGGTCTATAGGAACCTCTATTGGGAAACAACAGCCACATGTCCTGAAGGCTCTAAAATTACAAGAGTATGTGAAAATTGTAAATCAGCGTGGAAAGAGGTTTCAGAAATCATTGTCAACGCCATCTAACTAAAAATTAGCGTGACTGAAATGTCAAAGTTTTCCTTCTACGTTAGCTGTTCTCAGCCAGGGGCCATGCTCCCATTCTCTGAATATTTGACAATGATTGGAGGCAGGCTGGTTGTCAAAAACTGAGTGGGAGATGCACTTAGTGTGTAGTGGGACCGTAGGGAAGTTGCACAGGACAGTTCCCTCCCCCACTAAGAGATCAAGCCCCAAATGTCACAGTGCTAATAACACTGGGAAGCCCTGGTCTATGCACAAAAGAATTTCCCCAAACTCAAAACACTTCTTTCTTATTCCAGGAAGAAATCAAATTCACAAATTTTATTAGCTGTGCAATACCACCTTTCATTCATGTCTCATGTTTTAATTAAACTTTATAAACTACCAGTACAAATCAATACAATGCTTTCTTTTTTTTTCTTTTTTCTTTTTTTCTTTCTGTTTTTTTTTTTTTTTTTAGCACACAGCTTGAGTGTTCTTGAAGCGTTTAAACAATGAATTCACTGTGAGCAAACAGAAGGCACAGAGACAGAGCAGGTAATTAGCTCATGCATCCGGTGCTGGCTAATAAATAAATAATCTGCACATGGATGGAGAAACCACTCAATGGTAACCATATTTATTTTTTAAAAAAAAGATTTTGAAGACGTAAGAAAATGCAAGCTTCAGAAGCTTCTTGGCAATCAAGTACCATTGATTATTTTAAAAATAAGTTGCTTCCACATAGTCAGGAAGGAGTGAAAATGTAGCAAAATCCTCCATCTCGCTGGAATGATGGACTGGTCTTTCACAAAATATATGTCTATTTTTTTCCTGCATTTTCTTCTTCTGGAAGCCAGAAACCAGGAAGAGCACCCTGCTTTGAAAAGCGGTTGTTTGGTTCATAACTTTGGTTTATTCAAACAGGTAAGGAAGTGGTCCCCTTTTCTCCAGAGGAGAAAGTATGTTCTCCGGCAAAGAGACCAAGGCCATAGCGTCCCTTCTCAGTGAAGATGAAAGCGTCTTCCTTTCTCCAGTGTTTGCCCTCTTCAGATAGTCTTGGACAGCTTCTGCATTTCTCTCTGCGGCCCACTCACAGCCTTAGCTTCGAGTTTGGCAAGTCTCGGATTGGCTCTCAGATGTCTGCAGCTGAGGTTCTCCTCACACACCTCCATAGGTGCCTCGTGTCACACACCTCCATAGGTGCCTCTTGTCTCACACCCCATAGGTACCTCTCATCACACACCCCATAGGTACCTCTCATCACACACCCCATAGGTACCTCTCTTCACACACCTCTATAGGTACCTTCTTGCCAGATATGCTGGTGCATAACCATAATTTCAGCACTTGGGCTGCTAAGGGAGGAGGATCATTATTTCAAAGTTAGCTCTGGGTCTGTGTCAAGACTCTCTCCAATAAACAAACCAACAAAATCAAGAAAAAATAAAAACAAATCTTAAAATCATAAAAGTGTATATACTACAATGTGCTCCTACTAAGTCTTGCAAATAGGTAATTAAATAAGAATAATACAAGGAAAAGTGCATTTTCAGAATAGTAACTAAATGATAACTGAAAAGAGAGGTTTTTTTTTTTTTTTTGGCTAATATGGGTGGAAGACAATATTGACAGTTTGTTTCCAGGTCCCTTTGATTTTGCTCCCTGTCTCCTGGAGGGTGCTCATGCTCGATCTCCATGCCTGCAGGTCCTCTGCTCCTTCTGAGATGTTGTTAGTCCTGGACACCAGAGCTCTCTGAATTAACCATCCCTAAGAAGAGAAGCCAGAACACTTGCATCTCTTCTAGTGATTTTTTTCAAAGCTTGTCTGAGGTTGTGAATATTTCAGTGTGCAGGGACAGAGAGATCTGCTGTAAACACAGTCACTGTCACCACACTTGGAGCCCACAGAAACCGGAGACTCGCTCCTTTCATCTCTAAGTCATCAGCCAGATTCTTTGTCGCCCTGTGTGGAAGTTTATACCTTATTGCATTCAGTTATTCAGCAACCGCCAAAAGCAAACAACTTAAATGTCTCCACTAATCTGTGCCTGGGAGGTCATGTCTTTTTGCTGCCCGCTTTCTGCTTCTGTTTGCGAAGGTGAGCCTCTATTTCATGCCGGAAGACAAGCATCCCCAGCTGCCCGTGGGAAGCCTCATTCATGGCCTTGGACTGCATGCACATCTTGTACTGCTCGGGGGTCAGTTCATCCACACAGCGCTTCTCATGCCAAAGGTGGAATAGCCCCCGTACAGGTGTGCGGACCACGATGAGGTTGCTGTGGAGATACTTCCGGTACAGGTGCACATCTTCACCACCCCAGCCTTTGATGTCCAGGTCAAACCCACCTGTGGGAACAGAACATGCCGTTTGAATTGCGCTCCACCCACTCAGCCCCCAAGGACTTTTCCCCAAGAGGCATAGCAGGGATGGGCAGGGAGACAGCTAGATTGGTGGAGTACTTGCTTTGTAAGCATGAAGAACTGAGTTTGGGCCCCCCAAAATACAGCTTAAAACATTTTTTAAAACCCAAGAGTGGGCACTTGGCATGGTGGCACACACTTGCAATTTCAGCACCAGGGACGCAGAGACAGACAGATGACTGGGGCTTGCTGGTCAGCCAGTCTAGCCTGCTTGCCAAGTTCCAGACCAATGGAAGACTGTCCCCACATTAAAGATGCAGATGACACCTGAGGAATATTAAGGTTGTCCCCTGGCCTCCATGTTCCCATACAAACAACAAGGAAGTGTTCAGGGGAGGTGCCATTGGAAGCATCATCCATCCAAGTTCCCAGCGTCCATCTGGGTGAGGCTTTGGATGGGCATAGCCAATGGGCATGATCTTCATGCCTGACCATGCAAACTTCTCCATGTAACAGGAGGCTACACAGGATTCTAAGAACTGGGCTGCTTGAAAGAGCCATCGGCAGTACTAATGAGTAGCTCTGGCCCAGGATTAAGAGCTTCAAGTGCATCCTTGCTGTAGAACTTGACATCTTACAAGGCAAACCCTGTATCTGCCGTCTGTCACTGCACCCTGTCCCAAACACACTCATGTGGCTGCTTTATCCCTGCCCCCGTGCCCCAGCTATACCACTCTGTTCAGAGCCAGTTCAAACCAGAAAAACCCAGGACCCGAAACCCCAGCTAAGCAACTTTGAGTGGTGTTGGTTTTGAGTGACCATGGCCCTGAAGCAGGGGACAGCAACAGCGGGAGATCACCAGCCGGACAGTCAGAATTCAAATCCATTTTTCCTAGCAAAGTTGCTACTGAATGTGTCAAGTTGTTTCATTTTTTTATATAGTCCAGGCCTTGAATTTTCATTTCTCCTGCATTTGCCTTTTAAATACAGGGACCAAAGAATGAGCCTAGATAATGATGCCTGACTGAAGTTTGGGGTTTTTAAATCTTTTAATGAAGTCGATGCTATAACCAAACAAGATAAAATTTAATAAGTGCTTAACTTGGTCAACTAAAATTTTTTATTGCCCTCAGCATCTCTTATTAAGTACCATAGTCACAAGAAAGAAAATTGCAAATAAGCACATGGTCGCAAAGAGTGGCATACAAGGGGACCGAGAAGCTCTGAGGCCACAGCAGTGGCTCCCTGAGGAAGAACACCCTCCCCAGCTCACTGTGGCCCCACCTCTCGAAAATATAGTGGCATGCGTCTTCAGACAAGCCAAAGCAATATGAACCCAAATGAGAAAACATGAGTCTTCACAGTGCAATATCCTCTTCTCTGCACACAAAGCAAAGGAAACAATAGTTTCTGGAAATGGGAATTATTTAAAAAAAATTGAATGTTATTTTTGGGAATCTGATAAGCATACGGTCTCCTAGGAATATTTCCCTAGAGATATAAAAGAACCCCTGCCAGCTCTTCACAGTGGCTGTCACTCAAGACCTGGTGTACCGCTGCCTCCTCAGGGACACGAATCCAAGTTGCTTGACATTATTTTCATTTTAATCTGGTGATTTCTAAGGAAGGAAGCATACCGGGGCCTGCTTTCAAAGTGGGGAGGGCTTTAGGCCCAGGCCTGGGGGAAAGGTATGGAAGAGAGAGGGATGGGAGGGTATGGAAGAGAAGGTGCCTGCATGGTCGGTGGAGGAGTCTCTCCATCACTTCCCAGAGAGAAGGGCACCCCCAGAGCCCAAGTTAAGATTTTGGACCTGTTCTTTCTTGAGCTAGCTATGTATAATACAACCTGTTCCTCATCCTCCACTTCCTGTGAGGCCTCAGGAGGCCCCTTTGTCTCTGCGCACTTCGGTCTGTTCTGCTGAAACCCATTGCCTTACCTTTCTGAGTCCTAGAACTCTGCAGTTCATATGTGTTTGTAAATATGTCCTTTTAGCCTTCTACGTGTATACACATGTATGTGTGCCTGTGTACATCTTCATGTATGCCTCTGTAAATGTATATGTAAATATATGCATGTCTATATACATAAATGAGTGTACATGTCTCTGTGTGGATATGTGTGCATGTGAGTCTGTGTTCACACTTATCAATCTGTACCTATGTGGATATGTGTGCATGTATGTCTTTGTGTGTGCATGTGTGTTTGTGTTTTAAATATGTGCCACTGAGTGTATGTGTATATACACGTCTGCATCTCCGTGTCCATGCTTATCTGTGTGTTTATATGATGTGTAGAGATGTTCACACATGTGTGTTCATGTTGACAGCAACTGCATACTCAGAGCTTCAAGTGACATATGGCACTTTAAGTAAGGGTCGCAGGAGTTGCATGTGCTTTTCCCAGACTCCCCTCTTCTTCCGCATTCCTGGAGGCTCACAATGTTCCTCTTAGTGGACTCCACAGCCGAGGCCCTCAGAGGAGGAGGCACCACAGAACTTGCTTGCATCCTGCCATGTAAAACCCTGAGTGGTGCTGGGTACGTCTGAGAGGGGCCGACGTGTCCGACAGCATACCAAGCGCTGCCACCTGTGACCTGTGGAGCAGCGCTGTTTGGGAAAATGGCAGCATCTTTACCCAGGAAAACCTGCAGAATTTGCTCATGGCCTGCAGGACAGTGGCCTCCAGGTGGCGGTAGACTCGAAGTTTTATCTTACCTATGTTGATGAAGTCTGAGCGGTACTGACAAGTCATCCCAAACCCGAAGTCCCTCCAAAACCCCGTTTCCTTCTTGATGACCTGTAAGGAAAAAGACTTTCAGAGATAATGATAATATAGAAAACCGATCTTCACATGCTTGGTGAGCAGTGCTCAGTACAGAGCCACACCCCCCACACACACTGCCAACAAGTCGACCAGAGGGAGGCGTGTGTGTGTGTGTGTGTGTGTGTGTGTGTGTGTGTGTGTGTTTACCAAAAGAATTACAATACACTAATCCAAAGTGCGGCCTTATGATTTTGGGCACCTCTGGTCAGGATGTCTCTAGGGTGTAGGCATCAAAGCTTGCACACACTCTCTCACACACAACCAAAAACAACCTCAGAGAGCAGGTTTTTGAGCGGTGCCATGGAAAAGCCACCTACACATCTGGCGCCTGGTCCCAGTGCTAAGGAGAAGTGAGGCCGGCCCCTTACACAGGCCTGAGCACAGAGCCAGCGAAGGGCTCAGTAAGTTGAGAAAAGACCTCAGGAACAGCTTGGAATTCAGAACTCAAGGACAGGGAAAGAGAAGAAACATCCAAGAGATTCCTGCTGTTCCTGGATCACTGACCCTACACCCTCTGGCTGGCTGAGGAGAGGGTGCTTCTAAAAGATGAAGCTGCTCCAGAAAGATCCTGCTGGAAGTGCCAGCCTGCAGGGTAACCGAGAGGCCATCCAAAAAGTGAACAAAAAAAAAAAAAAAAAAAAAAAAGCCAGAGTAACACCATAATGTTCCGTTTCTTTCTTTCTTTTTTTTTTTTCGGAAAATTTCCAGCAAATTTGCTGAGGCAACAAAACTTAAAAAGTAACAGAAATTGGCATGTACACACACGCATATACATGTGCTCACACATACATACACATAGGTACACACAGACACATGCACCAACACACAAATTTGTCAGAAGTAATTCAGGAAAGCGGTTTGAAATCTGTTTTTTTCCCATCTTTGTAGTTTCTGTAGGTGCTTAGAAGAGAAGAAGTCCCCTTCTCGGGAGATGGAAGCAGAGTGTCTAGGAGGGTCCCTGTTGCTAAAGCTTGGATCTGTTTGCTGATCATCTGTAACACCTCGTGAGAAAGGAAGGGCAGGCCTGTCCCATCTCCACTCCTGGCCACTCTTTTCACCTCAGACAGGTCTCTTGATTTCAAGCCCGTTTTCCTTCATATATAATGAGGAGCTGAGCTAAATCATAACTAAAGAATCTTACAGCTCGTGTATTGCATCACTGTTACTCCATGTTCTGGAACCTTCCCACGGTCAAAATTATATTTGATAAATGTCTTGCGAACAGTTAATGAATCTTAAAACATTCTTTTATCCCAGAATTCAATAGGACAGAGGCTATGCCATGCTACACAAACACAAGACCTTGCTCACAATGAGGCTCTTTAACCACTGGTGATGGAGTGGGAGGGACCCAGGAAGTCCCACCCACACTTCTCCAAGGATTTATATGCAGTTCACAGTACTAGGGGAGATGAAGAAAGGGGAGCTTTACCAATGGTATAGCAACTTACCAGTGAGGTGCCCTCATTCCTGTGAATAATACCCACCCAGGCCCCTGCAAGCAACCCTGGTGAAACCCAGGTCACCAAACCCAACAACAGATGTCAAAGCAGGAGGCGAAGAAGTTCGAAAGGACCGTGTGAGATGGGAGTGTCTGGAGAAGCCTCCACTGAATACATTTTCAATGGACTTTTTTCCTTCTTTCTCAATCAGGTAAATGTTTCTGTTGCAGTCAAAGGCCTAATATTCCTTCTACTGCCTAGGGTTCTAGATATCCCACAGATATGGAGCAGAAGAGAAGCGCCAGTATCCAAACTTCAAATATTTGGTTGTACTCTCCATAGGGTCTAAAAGACACAGCTCCCTGTTGGAAGAACAATCAGGAGACCGAGGAGGAAGCAAGAGTGTGTTCCCAGTGAGCTGCCGTCCCAAGATTCTGGGCTGGATCGTGGTTGTCCTGAAGGACATAGAGGAAGGCTGATCCTCCCTGGACACAGATGATAGCAGCACATGATTTGTGGGGACTAGAAACAGTTACTACATTAGTGATAAGCCACAGAAAGGCACTCTGGGAAAGGGCCACTGAAGTACAGTCTTTTGTGGAAGCTGACATGTGTCACAGTATGTAATTTCAGGGAAAGATAGACTGCACTTCTGAGAGATTCTACCACCATGGCTGGGCCAAGCTGCCAACTGCTGCTCTCCAATGTTGCCTCTGGAAAAAAGCCTGGCAGAGATGAGGGCTCTTGAGTTCTCTCCTGATGGGATGGTATCGGGTTCCTGCTGAAGACCCTACAAGAGCCACAGAGGTTTCCAGTTCACCCAGGCCTGCCTGCCTCCTCTTCCTCTCCGCTCATCCCCTTTGAGCCTCTACATCAGTGTTTCTCTACCTTCCTCAAGTTGCGACCCTTCAACACTGTCCCTCCTGTTGTGGTGATCCCCAACTATAAAATTATTTTCATTAGTACTGTAATTATGCTGCATTTATGAATCATAATGTAAACACCTGTATTTTCTGATGTTCTTCAGTGATGCTCATGAAAGGTTCATTTGAACCCCACAGGGGTCATGACCCAGTTTGAGAATTGCTGCTCTCCACAGGCCTGTTTCCTAACCACCCAACTCCCCAGGCTCACAGGCATCTAAAATGTTCCCTCAGTCTCTGCTTGGCTGCGTTTCCCTACTCGTCATTGCTCAGGATGATCACCATACCACCACGTGGTCCACAAACACACACAGGGTTCCATGCTTGCTGCAGTTGTCTTTACATTCTGAACTCTTTTGGCACAAGGGTCTGCATTCTGACTTTGTTCTGAGATATTCTATTGATAAAGCAGGCCCTGCCCATGCATACTAGATAACCCGAATTGCAGCAATTTCTGGATCTGACTCTGCATTGTGTACTCCTTATTACCTGGGACCTGAAGGGTCAGAGATCACGCCGCAGAGGGTTCTGGGGGTGAAGGCTATGTGCCCTCTTTTTGAGGCCTCTTCAGAGGGAGGCAGAATGATTTGTTCATTCTTCCTGTTGCTGTAGAGCTCAGGGCTAAGATTCCCATGAAGATCCTGGTTTAATTTCTTTAAGAAATAATGTGTTCTGGATCACAGGGCTCCCAGAATTTATTTAATAATAGATTCAAATCTCATCTCCTCCCAGGTCTTTGCAACGTCTCATTTCCACACAAGTCTTATTGGTTTGAGAATAAAGTATGACAGTCTCTTCTAAGGGGTTAAGGCTGGACCAGACCCACGAGTGCTCTTATTTCTGGAATCTAGAATCTTGGTCCTCTGGCAGCATACGGGTTCCTTCAGCTCATCACCCTCGGTCAAGCTTAGCTGCACAGTTTGGCGCTCACATCTGTCCCTCTCCCACTCAGCAGCTGCAGGGATCTGAACTAGTGGACTTAGGTCTGCTGAGCCCAGGCTTCCAAATGTGTGAATGAGATGTAGATGCCGCTTACCCTCGTTGGGAATGATGGGAGATTACATGGTCTCACTGGGGGACTCTCAAATGCTTTCTGATTAAACAAAACCAGTCCGCAAGGGCACACTGCATGAACTATGCCCAGCAGACAATACTAAAGACCGAAGCTCAGGTCAGTGGTTAGAATGCTCAGTAATTCAAACCCCTAAATAAAAAAAGTCCAGCTAATTGAGGAGCTAAGAAATGGTCCTTGATAAAGTGACTGTTTCTTGAGTAGGAAGTCCAGAGTTTGAAGTCCTAAAATTCACATAAAAAGAGAGTAGTGGAGTGTCCCTAACCCGACTGACTAGATAGTCCAGGCAGACTAGATAGGTCAATGAGTTACATATCAGGGGCTAGGTGAAGAAGAGAAACAAGGAGGAGAAGGAGAGAAGGAGGAGGGAGGGAGGGGAGAGACAGACCCTCTCTCAAAAAATAAGGAGAAGTGAAAAAGCAGGGACCTATAGGGTTCAGGGGTAACATAAGAGAGGATAATAGGAAGGAAAACAGCACTGAACATATTAATACATGTATGAAGTTGTAAAAAATACATGTATTAAGGAGACAGTGATTAAGGAAGACACTTGATTTCAGCCTCTTGGTTCACGGCAACTATTTGAGGCAGGCAAGGCAGTGCAGGTGTAAGCAAGAGAGGACCAGGACAGGGAGAAGCACGTACACCGCTCCGTGTCACAAAGTAAGCAGGCTACATTGCCAGGTGGTACCGTACAGCAGATATCACGGTCTGCATCAAACACAGAGAGACTAAAATTCACAAGGTGGTGGCCTGGGTGGACGGCAGGCTGACGCTGGTGTCCTCAGAGATGGTGTCGTCTGCCAGGTGGTGTGGATTAGCTGGCATTCTCTTTGCAGCCAGGTTAAGTTGGTTGATGGAGGACAATCAGTTGCAACAAAAAATCAGAGTCTACAGCCCTGTGCTCGAGACAGTTCATACTGATCTCCAGAGTTGCACACATCTCTTCCCAGCATTCCCTATGGAAACACACTGGTAAGCCCAATACAAGCCACAGGGGGATTGTTTACACCATGGAAATTGGCAAACACCATCACCAGGGCTTTTTCTTCTTCTTCTTCTTCTTCTTCTTCTTCTTCTTCCCAAGAGTAGGCTGCTAAACAATTGCAAGCCTGCCACTGGCTTTATGCCATAAACATCTTTTTGAATAAAAAAAAAAAGTGGAATTAATTTGTTTATTCAAACGGGGTGCGGGGAGGGTCGGAATCTAAAGATAGGGGAAGTAGGAGGCTTCTGCAGGGATCTAAGCAGGAACTGACAGGCTGAGCAGCAAGGTGGAATGTTTAAAGCAAAGAACGTTGATTTAAATTACAGTTATTCCCTTCTCGGTTTGCTGTTTCTGCATTAAGGCACCGGCAAGTCTCATCTCACGGCTTAAATCTCAAAAATTAAATATTAGCACGAAACCCCACAGTGTCGCTTATTACTAATGATCTGTATGCAGAAGTTAAAAAAATAAGAAGGCATCCGAACATCCACAGAGATCCTTGCTTTCCTCTGCAGGCAAGCCGGAAATGGCAGGACTGATAGCCATGAAAACTCATCCTGGGCGCACTGAGCAAAGGCTGTGATTGCGGGGCTGCACGCGTGACCTTTACCACAGCCCATTCCGAACCCACATTCCCCACCTCACTGAAGTACTGCTGCGTCCCAGGGAAGGCCATGCAGGGTTTGTTAATACACACATGGTCTAGACGGAGTCAACATGCAATCTCAGGGGAAATCTCTCCTAATTTTCTTATCTCCGGCCATTACTTTTTGGTTTATAGTGTCTCGCCACCTACTCACTCTCTCCACAGTGTATTAATTTCTATAGTTTGATGTGTGCCTCTGGCATTCTTGCCGGGCCATTTTCTTTTTGCCTCTGATCTCTTGGGGATAACTGGAAGATCTAGTCCCGCTGCTCAAGAGGAGGGACACCCTGGCACGGGCTAAGTTCTGTCACTTAGGCACTTTCCTATCTTAATTTTGGGGTCCGAAGGGTGTGTGTACTCATGCATGTGTGTGTGTGTGTGTGTGTGCATGAGTGCATGCACGTGTGCTGGTGTGCACCTGTGCTTGCACGTTTGTGTGGGTGCTCAACTGTGCAGTATAGAGGTCAGAGGGTATTCTGCCGCTCTTCACATTGTATTTGAGACAAGGTCTCCAATGGACCCGGAGCTGGCAGTTTGGCTCGACCTTCTGGCTAGAGACTGCCCTATCTCTACCTGTCTCCATCACTCTCCCAGTGCTGGGGTTTCACCCATCTGGGTGGGGTGGAGACCTGAACTCGGGTCCTCAGGCTTTCCCACAAGCACTTTATCCAGCGATCCCTCTCCCTAGCTCCTGACTCTGCAGCCTTGGACCATTCATTCAGCATCTATGAAGGGTGGATGAGGGGCCTCAAGCCAATCTTGCCTGAGGGTACGAAACAAGTACAGCTCTTCTGACCCCAGGACCAGGACCTGGAGCAGATGGCTTCAGGCAGTGAGTGATCAAGATAGTTTGTCTTGGGATTAGCTCTGTGGCTAAGAGGTCTTGCTGTCATTACAGAGGACCTGGACTTTATTCCTGGCACCTGCATCAGGTGTAACTCCAGCGCCAAGAGATCTTATACCCTCCCTGGACCTTACACACATAAATAAAACTAAAATGAAATAAATGACTTGTCTAATGAAGGATACAATCATGCATTTCCCTGGGAAACCTTGAACTTGCTGCCTTTCACTGAGCTGGATAATTGTACACTGAACTCTGAGCAGCAGCTTCATGTACCGGAGGAGAGGTCAATGATGCTCTAAGAAGTAAATGTCAAAGGTGATTTGGGGCTTCTCGCTGTGGCCACGCACATCTGAGGCTCTGAGTTATTTTCACCTGGACTGCTTATTCTGTGAGTCTGGTAGACCTGCTTTCTACACTGTCTGTCTGCCTCCCATCCTGCCTGCTCTCAGGATGAACTGGAAAGGACAAAACCTTTAGATTATGAAATGAAAAGAAGTCCTTGCAAGCAAATAGGGCCTTTATGAATTTGAACTAGAAACATTAATCACTTCCAATGTCAAATGTAAAACAGAGCTTTATTTAAAATCAAGGGAATTTTTATTCTCATTGGTTGAAAGAAAAAAGCCCATTTTGTCTCATTTTCCTTTAACGTCCCATGAAAGGCTTACAACTCCTGGGATGGGAAGCCAGAGCCCCGGTCCTCATGGGAGACTCATCTCTCATGTTCAGAAAACTGGTTCTTTGGTTGTGAAACTGTCTGAAGCATAGAGAGGTGGACCATACCCAGCCACTCACTACACCTGCAGTGCTAAAACCTGACAGCCATAGAGGAGACGGTTTGTGCACTTTCTGGCTTGAGCCCACCAAAATCATACGAGGACAAGCACAAAACATGAACCTCCTCTTTTCTGAAAGCACCCAAAGCTTCGGTGTTCTGGAGAAGAATCCCATTGGCTATCAGAGGTTACCTGGGAGAGGACAAGGGCACAGGTCAGGTATAGAGTGAATGGGTTTTCTTACTTCTGAAAGCCCATCACAGAGTCGGCTACCCAAACGAACGTGGCAGAACAATGTTCTCCCATGACCATGATATGGGGCACGAGGAGACCCCATATCCCCTTTTCATCTACATCTGCTTGTCTATGTCCCATTTCCTTCCTGTCCATAAGGATACTCGCTGTGAAAAGCATGGCATTTCCAGGCCTGCTAATAGGAGGCAGAGGTGTCCAACATAATCTCCCTGCTGGGAAGATCACCCTGAGTGGCTGAGAGGAGGGTCTGTCCTGTGCCCAGGTAGCCAACAGTACCCACCCCCACATACACTCCACGGTTTCAGTCACTGCTATCAGCCGAGGTCAGAGAATATGAAATGAATTATTCCAGAAATGAGTAAATTATGTGCTATATTCTATATTATCATTAGTCACTGTTGTTCTGTCTCACTGCTACCTTATAATCCTAATGTTAGCACATGCGGAAGTATAGAGAAAGCCACACTATGTACAGCGCTTGGGATGATTCCTTATCTCATGTATCCGGTGAGGGGATTGGAGCATCTCCACTCAGGCAAAGGGACTATAACAGCAGCCTTGGAGGGGCAGGGGGTGCTCTCCTGGTTTGTCCCAGTTCCTCTTTCCATTCTGCTTCAGCTGTCTGTGATGTTATGAGAGTGAGCAGGCCCTGGGGGCTTGGCGGTTCCACGACCTATCACCGGTGCAGCCAAGATCTTGGCAGAGAAGTTCTTCCTCTGTTTCTTTGAAAGCGACATCTCTGGTGACACCATTGATGCCAACATCTGCCCCAATATGGGGATGTGTAGCCGTGGTGATGGGATGGGATGGGTGAAGGGCCAGGGGACAGGCCTGGTTCTTGTTCCCCACTGACTCAGGGTAACTGCCACCCGCTTCTGTCACCTGTTTTCCACCATCTTAGGCATTCCTGTTTCTAACGAGAACATTACCCTCACTTTTCCTATGGGATTTTGTAATGATAAAGAGAAAGCATGCTCTAGCCGTAATCCAATCATAGTAGTTCCAAAAACCATAGACGGAAGCTATGGAGGTGTGAAATTACCCTCTTCTAAGGTACGGTTCCTATTTATTTTTCACTTTTAAATATTGCAAGGACTTTTAATCATCGTGGCACTCGGAGCAAAGGCCAGAACATCTGCCAAACTTAAAAACCACTAAGGGGATTGGTCTGCGGATCCCGCTCACCGCTCTATCCCGCTCACCGCTCCTCACGGTCAGGTGCCCCAGTAATGAGTGACATTAAACAGCGGCGCACACGGGCATCTGCGGGTCGTTACTCACCAGCTGCTGCTCTAGGGGCGGGACTGCATCATGATGGCCGTAGATTACGCCAGGGTTATACTGACTGAAAAGAACTGGATAAAATACCTTCTTCCCTGCAAATCAGAAAGCAAACATCTGCTTAGGAGAAACTCGGTCCACTGCTGGGCTTGCTCATGTACGTTTCACCATCAGAAATAGCCCAGGTGCTTCCACCCACTCTTTCTCGCTTCACCCAGCTCTAGACCAGATCTTAGAGAGAGCACCAGCTCGACCAGTCAGCCTGATTCTCCGATCCCTCTGTCCCAGGATGAGAACAACATGAAAGCTGCCAACAGGCCAGAGGTTGGGGTTGCCTTCCCCAAAGCGTTGAGTGTGGAGGAGGGTCCTGGTGTCCCTGTCCTGCATGCCCAAAGCCTTTAAATGTCGATTTCTATTTATTTATTTATTTATTTATTTATTTATTTATTTATTATGTATACAATATTCTGTCTGTGTGCATGTCTGCAGCCAGAAGAAGGCACCAGACCTCTTTACAGATGGTTGTGAGCCACCATGTGGTTGCCGGGAATTGAACTCAGGACCTTTGGAAGAGCAGGCAGTGCTCTTAACCACTGAGCCATCTCTCCAGCCCCCTAAATGTCAATTTCTAGTACAACCTTAAAGAGTGGCAGAGGAGGTCAGGAAGACTATGGGCAGCAGAGGGCTCAGAGCAGCTGCCCCTTACCGCTATGCATGGAAGAATCGCCATATTTTAACAGCAAGTGAACATACCAGGACTCTTAGCTCTCTAGCAACAGTGCCTATGTCCACAGACATCATTTGTGTATTTGGGGCTTGTTAAGGGCCCATAGCTATTTTTTTCCCTTTGGATTTGGGTGGCTTTCCAGGTCCGTGTCCTCTGACTCACTGTCTCCAGTGGATGTCCCACCCATCTGACCTCCCAGTGGGAGACAGAAAGGGATCATGCACAGGGGTACAGGACATAGTCCCAGAGTTCGTGTGCCTGACAGCCCTGTTGCACAAAGCCTGAGGGTGAGCTGAACAAGATCACCTTCCTTGTCTTTGTGACTGAGGGAACATGATGGCAGAGCAGCCTGTGTAGACAGTAACACCTGCGGGAAAGAGAGCCGAGTGCCCGAAAGAGGTAAGAAGGAGACAATGCCAACCTGGCTGTGTGTTCAGCCTGCATGTGTTGAGGAACTCAGAGGTGAAGTAGATGTCCACGTCACAGAAAAACAGCAGGACGTTGCTTCCCTTCCAGAAGCGGGCTCCGACATCCAGTCCCTTCCCCCGGGAAAATTCTCCATTCAGCTGGATAAAGGTGAAGTTTCTGAAGTTGGCAGCTCTGGAAGATACAGAGAGCAGATGGTCAGGGGTCACCACTCATCACCACACTTCCCGGGAGGACAGAATCCCCCGGAAAACACACGGCTGGAGCTGTCCCCCTCTGAACGTTCTGTAATTCTGAGGGTGGCGGGGCCACCCAGGCAGGGACAGAAGAGCCAAATTGAGTAGACCCCACTGAGGATGAAAGGACAGAGAACACCTAGCAAACTTTTGTTGTTGTTTTGCTGTGTGGCAGGGTCTTGCTGTCCAGTCCAGGTTGACCTTGATTTTATGACCTTCTTACCTCAGCTGACATTACTGACATTAGAGGTATATGCCACCATGCCCAGTTCTACTGCACTTAATTTAATTTTTTTAATTATGTGTATACGTGTGTGTAGTTGCTAACAGAGGCCAGAAGTGGGTGTCTGATACCCTGGAGGTGGAGTTACAGGCAGTTGTTAGCCACGCAACATGCGTGCTGGGAACAAAACTAAACCAAAACATGGGTCTTCCACAAGAACAGTCTGTGTTCTTAACCACTGAGCTATCTCTCCTGGCCCCTAATGAACTTGCAATATGAATTTATGTCTTCCATTTCTCCAAATTCTTCTATATTGAGACTGCAATTGTTATCACTAATGCACACCCTTTGTGATGGGATTTGGAATTAGTTAAGTAGAAACACAACCCAAAGACATCTCCATGCTTTCTGGGCCACTAAAATAAACCTAGTGCATAAAGCTGAGACCCTGCGGAATATGGCTTCCCAGCATCTCATCTGTTTCAAGCCCAGAGTCGGGCAACATGTTCTTGATGTGTGTTACCCCAGACAGACTGAAACCTTCCTCCTTTCCTTCCCAGTAGAGGAAAAGCAGCATTGCGCGGTGTGAAAGAGGACCAGCGACCTTGCCTTTGGAAAGCAATGATGCACCAGCCCTAACTGCATTGCCGCTAGCTCTGTTAGCAGGACATGCTCATTCTTTGATTGCTTCATTAGCATAAAGGAAATAACAATAGCCTCATTAGTCTTTATACAAAGTGACTATATAAGTGGTGGCAAGGGGATGTGGTAACATAAGCACCATCATCATCAGAGGTAAGGATTTCCAAGCCCAGGCTGCCGAAGTCAAGAGGATTCTGTAGTTTGCTGAACTTCCCCAGAAACTTCAGAACCTTCTGAAATGGGACTCAGTCTGGGCAAAACCGTAATTCATTTGGTGCAAATGGGTCCTGGACAGCCTTCCATCAGGTGGAATGAAAGGCCTCTTTCAGCCCTGTTTCAGCGTCTGTGTGCCCACGGGCTGGCATGTGGCTGTTCTTGTTGACTCCATCTGTCTTTGATCAAGGCTTGCTCTACCCACACTTCTGCCCTTCCTACCTCGGCGGGGCCCCACCGCTCCCTAGCTTCTCCCTGTCTTGATATAGTCGGCAGATACAGGAGGAAAACCATTTCCATTTTTAATAGTTTATATTCCTCGCAACTCTCTTGGCTCAAGGTCAACACAAATTGCCAAAGTCCTAAGCATTTCGCAGGCTGAGTGGTGCTAGTCTCTGGGATTTAATCACAGAAACCAGTTTGGCTACTCTTCCGTGACTTGCCTTCTTTCAGATCTCAGAGGAAGTTTGTGGTTTTATCCCGGGAATCTATGGGTGCAGCCTAGCCTCAGTCAGACGCCAGACAGGAGCACAGCCTGAGATCCGAGTGGAAGACAGGCGTGTGAAAAGCCGGCTCTCTGAGTCAGCAAACCCGGGTCCAGGGCCAACAGCTGTGCCTGGTCCCAAGCAGATACACCCTGGATGTCTCTGAATATCTGTGAATGGAGATTTATGAATAAAGTTAGAGTGCTTCTGGCCCGTGCTTCTGCTTTATTTGGAGTCCTTTCTCTTGCCTTTGCTGCCTTTCTCCAAAACCCTGTTCACTGGGTTTCAAGGCCCCTTCAGCTCTTACAACGCCCCTGGACAGCAAATCTTCATTTACTTCAGTCCTGTGATTCCCCTCTGCCTTCAGGACTTTATCTTTGATCCTCTGCTCAGGGGTGGTGGCTCCAGCCCACAGCTCCTTCAATTAGTACTGAGGCTCGGTTCCAAGGCGTTCCAGAACCACACCTGGCACTGGCGGAAGACAGCACAACTGTCTCCACAGACAAGCGCTGTCAGGGCCTGGCGGGCAGCCCCCAGATCCAGGAGGCTTCTCCAGCCCCAGCTGTCAGAGTCCTCACAGCCCAAGTCGTCCTGCCTAAGGGAAACATCACCTGAGGGAGAGGCCTGGGTTTCACCTGTACTTCTCAGGGGCTTTTTAGCCTGTTCTCCCTGACGCTTCATCCAGGGTCTGCCTTGTTCAATTGTTTCAGCTTTTCTATCCTCCAAGACCCTGTTTCCTAGACCACAGGGGTATTTGTTATCTGGTTTACAGAGTAGGGAGGCTGTCATTTCAAGTCACAGTGCTTGCTCAGGTTGTAGCTGACCCACTACTTAAAAGGTAACTCTCCTAAGATGATTGCAAAGATCTATCATGAAAGATTTTAAATCCAAAGGCTTATTTATTTATTTATTTGGTTTAATGAGATACAGGGTTGTGCTATATAGACCAGGTTAGGCTCAAACTGACAATCCGCCTGCATTCTACGTTTTGGGGCTACAGAAATGCATGACCGTACTTGGCTTACACATGCTTTCCATATGCATGATAGCAAGCAACATTTCTGAAGGCAAGAGGCACACTGTCTTTAATGTTACGTTGGGAAAACAGTGACGTTACCTCTGCCGGCACAGCCTGCAGACCGTTTGCAGAGGTGCTTCGAGAAGTCAGTTCATACTGAGTAGAATAGAGTGAGCGGCATGAATGTCTGAGCTTACAGTGTGAACGGCGGCGCAACAACCTATGGGCCTATGCTGGCAAACAAATAGCCAAGAGATAACAAAAGACAGGATGCCACAGAATGTAAGAGGGGACAAAAATCTGACGCCTCTGCCTGGCCAGCGCACACATGAGAATACCCTGGCTCAAGTAGGTTACTCTGGTAAACACCATCACCCATTCCACAGTAGCAGAAGGAAGGGGAAAGGCCAAGGCTTGCCTGTCAGTCTTTGGAAAAAGAGGAGGGACAACATCCCTGGTGCTAGTGTTTGAAATGATCTTAATTTGAAAGACCTTTAGACAAACTATTTGGACATCACATTGTATACATGAATGTGTTGCTTCTAAAGGAACCCTTTATCTGCCCTCACACAGTGGCAATTTGCTTCCTTCTTTTCATCCAGGCTTTCTCTGAGGATAAGGTATTCCCTGCTATTTTCAGGACACAGCCCATTCCTAACATGCATCCCAACCAGTCTCCAGGGTGCACTTGCCCCAAAGGCTACAGGTTCAAGATGTGAACGTTGACAGCCCCAGGAAGGTATCTCTGTGCACCTATTGCCCAATGTCTCCGCCCAGATTCTGGAGAAACCCTATGGCCTTGAGTGCAGACCACTGAGACAGCATGCAGAACCATGTTTGTTCTGCGGTCTATGGCCCAGCTCTGGCGACAAACCATAGATGGTCATGATAGCCGAGTCAGAAAGGGTACATGTGACTGGGACTGCCTTAGTGATCCTTTTTCACCACACACTATCTTCCTCTATTTCTGTGAAGAGGGCTCTTGTTCTTCAACTTCACGCCTTGAATACCACATTTTGAGTACCTCCTGGCAAACTAAAGAGCCCTCTATGAAGATCTTATCAAGTTCTGCCCTGTCCCTTTTGTGTCTTGAATCTTTATTGTGTCAAATGTACCAATGCACAAGAGGCTCTTGCAGGTTCTGATCCAAGGCAGCAGGCTCCCCCCATACAACTCCTTTCAGAAATGACCCAGCACTGTACCCAGTGCACCCCATGTATGTATCCAGTAAGGGTCACACACGAAGACAAAGAAGAGACTAAAAGCACTCGACACAGCTAGAGATGAATAATAGAAATGACCGAAGCTCTTCAGGTACTTCCCCAAGGACTTGCTGTCTGGAGAGAGCTTCTCCTACAAAGAGATTTCAGCCCCCTCTTCAGTGGGGAAGCCCTTGGTTACCCCTTCCTCTTTATATAAGCCTACTACCCACATGTGACAGAGGCTGGGTCCAGTGAATTTGGAAGGGTAAATAAAAACCTTAGCTTTTATGATGAGGTAAATATAGAGTAACAGAAAAAAAAGCTGAGAAAAATAGCATGCAATTTGTGCTGAAATATTTAATGTACTCTCACAATGAAATGCAATACTTGGTGACATGCAGGCACTGGACGCTGATGACAGTAGAATGGGGGCTCTCCATCTCACTAATATGTGAACCCCTATTATGAACACACAAAAGGATACATGATTTATTCCCAATTACCTCTTGAATTATATTAATAATTAACAAAACTCTTAAATTTCCCACTCAATTCCTTTCTTTGCTATGATAAATCTGTGCGTGGGGACTTCTCGGTTACGAGCAGTCATTTTTGCAGAGGTTATGATGACCTGAGAAAGCTATTGCTTCTGCTGCTTTTAATTCCCCTAATTGCCTTGCATTTCTCTGAATGAGAGGATTAAAACCATGCTGTCCAGTATGGTTGGTTCTGATACAGATGTTTTCTTACAACTGCAAAGAAACTGTCTTAATGTGATACTTCCCATAATAGCCCCTTATTTAAAACATTATTCAGGCCCAAAACTCTGGCAGAATTCCACTGCTGGGGTGCAGGCCACACTAGTCAGAGGAACAGGTGAGTGATCTGACTGGCAGCCAGATTGCCCTGCCCCCAGATTCTCTTCCCCCAAGACCTGTTCCACTTCCCAAGCTTCCTACTTCATCTTCCCTGTGGCCAGCCCTTCCCCCAACTCTGGCAGACTTCATTGTCTCAGGTACAGTTCACAGGGGTTGGAAGAACAGGTAAATGACCTGCGTGCTAGCCAAACTGCTATACTCCTCAGATTCTGATCCCCCAGACCCAACCCATGGTCCTCCCTCTCCCACCTCATCACCAGTACCGCTGCTGTGCCCT